GCGGGGACACGGCCGGGCGGCCGCGGGCCGGGCGCTCACCTCGCTGGCCGGCCGAGGCGCTGGCCATCTCCTGCTTGGACAGCGCCTTGCGCACCTCGCAGTTGTGCCCGTTCACCGTGTGGTACTTCTGGACTGCGGGGGGGACACGGCGCTGGCTCGGGACGGCGCTGCCACCGCGGGGCTGACACCCGCCCCGGGCTGGCCACGCGCCGTCCCCAGGCGGACTGGCACTGCCACAAGCCATCCTCATGCTGTCCCCAGCCTGTCACCCGCCCCAGCTCATCCTCAGGCTGTCCCCAGGCTGTCCCCAGGCTGTCCCCACACCGTCCCCAGGCTGTCACCTGCCCCAGCTCATCCTCAGGCTGTCCCCAACCGGACTGTAACTGCCCCACCCCATCCCGAATCTGTCCCCAGGCTGTCCCTGTCCCCAGGCTGTCCCCAGGCTGTCCCCAGGCTGTCCCCACACCGTCCCCAGGCTGTCACCCGCCCCAGCTCATCCCCAGGCTGTCCCCAACCGGACTGTCACTGCCCCACCCCATCCCGAATCTGTCCCCAGGCTGTCCCCAGTCCCCAAGCTGTCCCCAGGCTGTCCCCACACTGTCCCTGTCCCCAGGCTGTCCCCACAGCACTCACTGACGATTTTGTCGACCGAGTCGTGGTCGTCGAAGGTGACGAAGGCGAAGCCGCGCTTTTTCCCGCTGCCGCGGTCGGTCATGATCTCGATGACCTCGATCTTGCCGTACTGGCCGAAGTACTCGCGCAGGTGATGCTCCTCCGTGTCCTCCTTGATGCCGCCCACGAAGATCTTCTTCACCGTCAGGTGCGCGCCGGGCCGCTGCGAGTCCTGGGGACGGCAGCTGGAGCTGTCCCCGCTGCTGCCACCGGCGCTGGCCCTGTCCCCAGAGCCACCCCTGGCCCTGTCCCCAGAGCCACCCCTGGCCCTGTCCCCACTGCCACCCCTGGCCCTGTCCCCACTGCCATCACTGCTGTCTCCAGGGCCACTGCTGTCCCCACTGTTCCTGTCCCCAGGGCCACCGTCCCTCTGTCCCCAGTGCCACCACTGTCTGTCCCTGTCCCATGTCCCCAGTAGGGATGGGGCTCTCCCCTTGTCCCCAGCCCTGGGCAGCCCATCCCAAAGCCAGGCCACCCTCCTCTGTGTCCCCAGTGTGTCCCCAGTGTGTCCCCAATGTCCCCTCACCTCTCGGGACACGGCCCGTTTGGGCTCCACCACCCTGCCATCCACCTTGTGTGGCCGCGCGTTCATGGCGGCGTCCACCTCCTCCACCGAGGAGTAGGTGACGAACCCAAAGCCCCGCGAGCGCTTCGTGTTGGGGTCCCGCATCACCTGGGGACAGCGACAGGATGGGGACAGGTTGGGGACAAGTTGGGGACAGGTCAGTGACACAGGGACAGGTCAGGGATGTGACAAATCCGAAGCCCCACGAGCGCTTTGTGCTGGGGTCCCGCATCACCTGGGGACAGCGACAGGTTGGGGACATGGGGACACCTCAGGGACACCTCAGGGACACGGGGACAGGTCAGGGACAGGTCAGGGATGCGGGGACACCTCAGGGACAGGTGAGGGACAGGTGAGGGACACGGGGACAGGTCAGGGATGTGACAAACCCAAAGCCCCGCGAGTGCTTCGTGCCGGGGTCCCGCATCACCTGGGGACAGGGACGGGACAGGGACACCTCAGGGACATGGGGACACCTCGGGGACAGGGGACAGGTCAGGGACAGGTCAGGGATGTGACAAACCCGAAGCCCCGCGAGCGCTTCGTGCCGGGGTCCCACCATCACCTGGGGACACCGTGGGGACATGGGGAGGCACAGGCAGGGGACACAGGTGAGGGGACACAGAGAAGGGACAGCCACAGGGGACACACAGGTGACACAGAGGTGACCCAGGTGAGGGGTCACACACAGGTGAGGGGTCACAAAGAGGTGACACAGGTGACAGGAGAGGCTGCCTGGATGTGCCACAGGGGCTGGGCTGGGTTTGGGGGTCCCAGGGAAGGTTTTGGGATCCCAGGGATGATTTTTGGGACACCAGGGATGGATTTGGGGTCCTGGGGATGGATTTGGGGTTGCCAGGGATGGATTTGGTGTCCTGGGGATGGATTTGGGGTCCCAGGGACAGATTTGGGGTGCCAGGGAGGGCTCTGGGGAGGCCAGGGATGGATTTGGTGCCCTGTGGATGGATTTGGTGCCCTGTGGATGGATTTGGTGTCCTGGGGACGGATTTGGGGTGCCAGGGACAGATTTGGGGTGCCAGGGAGGGCTCTGGGGGTCCCTCTCACCACGCAGTCGGTGAGGGTGCCCCACTGCTCGAAGTGGCTGCGCAGGCTCTCGTCTGTGGTTTCGAAGCTCAGGCCGCCGATGAAAAGTTTCCGGAGCTGCTCCGGCTCCTTCGGGGACTGCGGGAAAAGGGGGCACGGCCAGAGGGGTCACGGGGGGCTGGGCACCCCCTGAGCCCCCCAAAATCCCTCCCGGGACCCCAAACTTCATCCTGGACCTTCCCCACAGCTCCCGATACCCCAATTCCCCTCTGGGAACCTCCCAGCCCCAGGGATGCCCCAAAACCCCAAATTTCACCCTGGGACCCCTCCGGGGTTCCAGAGAGGTCCTGACACCACAAATCCCCCCTGGGAACCCCCAGCCCCAACCTGAGGGGGTTCCCAGTCCCCCGAGGAGCCCCCCACTCCCCACCTGAGACCCTGAAACCCCCAGACCCTGAAAGGGCCCAGAGACCCCACCCTGGGCCCCAAAACGACCCCCTGAGCTCTTCCATCCCAAATTTTTGGGGCCAGCTGATCCTTCAGCATCCTCAGTTCCCATCTGGGGGGGCCACCAGACCCTCGACCCCTCCCCAGTCCCCACTTCCAGGACCCCCCACCCAAATTTCTCCACCTCCCAGGCCCCCAAATCTCTCCCCCAGCCCCCGTTTTGGGGTCCTACCACTCCCCTCACCGCCCCAAACCCCTAACTTTGACCCCCCCAACCCTAAATTCCGACTCCCCCACCCCCCAAAAACCCCCAGCCCCTTATTTTAACCCTCCCAACCCCCACAAACCAAACCCAACCCCACAACTCGTCCTCCCCCACCCCCCAAAACCCCCAACCTTTATTTTCCAGCCCCCGCACCCCCAATTTTAAACCCCCCCCAAGCCAGAATTCCCCCTCCCCGCCCGTTATTTTGAAGGACCCCCCCCCCCCCCCCCCCCCCCGGGGCCCAAAAGGGCGCGCACCGG